CACAAAAATTAAATAAGATAGGTTTATCATATAATGACACAAAGAGACATATTTTAGATAATAATATTGAAACATTAGCTTGGGGTCATTATAAACTGCGTTAAGTGTTGATAGTTTTTACTTTTATGTCTGCGTTTAAGAAAAATTTATATTGATTGTAAAACTATGATAATACTATAATATGACGTAGTTTATTACATATTTAATCATTGTTTTATTGTAAATAATTTAAGTTAATTGTTGTTTCTATTTATTAGAGGTTGAGTTAATTGTAAAATTACGATGTACTAATTGTTGTTTCTATTTATTTGAGATTGAGTTAATTGTAAAATTATGATGTACTAATTGTGTTAGAAATAGTGTATACAGATAATTCTGTTTTATATAATTTTTGGAATATATATTAATTGTTTACACCAACACTTTCATTTTTTATTTCACCCCTTTGAACTTTAGACGTGTGTTATGTTTCACTTTATCCATCCGTTCACTGCTATTGTGGCAGGACCAAGTGGGTGTGGGAAGTCAAATTTTGTAACAAATTTCATAAAATCAGTTACAGAAATATGTAATTGTGATTTTAATCAGATCACATGGTGCTTTGATGAAATGCAACCATTATATAATTTACCAAATGTTAACTATCATCAAGGAATTCCAAATCTTAATATGTTTGATGGTGAAAACCCACATCTTGTTATTATTGATGATCTAATGAGAGAGTCCGATGGAAGAATTGTGGATATATTTACAAAAGGTAGTCATCACAAGAATCTTAGTGTATTTTATCTAACACAAAATTTATTTCATCAGGGTAAAGGACAAAGAGACATATCTTTAAACTCAAGTTATATAATATATTTTAAAAACCCTCGAGATAAAACTCAAATAAGATATTTAGCAAGACAAGTATCACCAGATAACCCAAAATTCATTGAAAATGCCTACAGGGATGCAACTCTAGAGGCGCATGGATATTTAATGGTAGATTTAAAACAGAATACCAATGATTTTTGTCGTATCAAGACAAATGTCTTTCCATTTAATGGTTTCTGTACAGTCTACGTCCCCACAAAAGAGTTTAAATACACCAAGAATCAAACAATTGAAATCATTGCTAAATCATCGTCGACTCACAACGTATAAACATTTGCTAACCGCTTTGCATACGCTTAAACCAAAATATCAAAGAGCATTACTTAAAACGTGTGATGAAGAAGAAATTAACTGTATTTGTGAGTGTATTCATAACGTTTTACAAGGAAAAGTACCTCTTAAAGATCAGGATAAACAAAAATTGAATAAACATAAAAACATACTCCGTAAACTAGTACGTAAGTGTAAACATAAACTAAGAAAAAATATAATTAAACAAAAAGGAGGGGCTTTCTTACCAACAATATTAGGTGCAATATTGAGTGGATTAGTGAGTGGACTAGCCAGTTAACATGGAAAATGCAAAGAAAATGATACTTATCGAACCTGGATTGATTGAAAAATTAAAACAAGAAAATAAGGTTAATAGTAATTTATCTCGATTAGATATTGAAATGCAAAATATTATGAATAGTAAGACGGAAGACCGAAAGAAATGGATATTATATTTACAAACACTGCAAAGATACCTTCATTTTACCGAAGAGGATCGTCAACCACTCAAATTACCAATTTATTCTGATACATCTAATGAAGATTCAAATGAGTCAAAAATTGGTTTTAAAAATAAAGATAGAGATCTAAAAACTTCAGTTGATATTGAATCTTTGCTGGAGGAGAATCGATCCATTAAAAGTAAAGAAAATGATGAAAATCCACTTTACACACCAGCTCAAATACTCAGTTTAATACCAAAAACTTATCATAAAAAAGGGCAGTTATTATTAAACTTAGTTGAAACAAGTAAAAGTAAAATACATTGGGATAACGAAGGTACAGTCATAATTGATAGTGAAAAAATTCCTGGAAGTAATATTGTTGATTTAATAAATGATTCACTAAGACCCCTAAAAAGAAGTGATCCGGTAGGGTGGGTTAGATTTGCTGAAGCATTAAAAGATATTAAAGTACCACTTACTTATATTGGAAATCCAAGGAGATGTGAGTTTATTAACCAACTTCAAGCAAAAGATCTGAACAAACCTTCTGAGATTGAAGTTCAAGAGTTTTCTACACCGGTCAGTAGAGATAAAAAGTCTACAACTAAAATACGTAAAGGACTTGAGTGGGAAAAATGGACCCCGTACTAGAAGAAATTAACAGGATTTATTATGATCCATCTAATCCCGCTGGTTTTGGTAGTATTGATAAATTATCAAAAGCCATGAAGGGTAAAATGAATAAAAAGCAAGTAAAGGAATGGTTAAAATCACAAGAAACATACACATTACATAAACCCATTCGAAAAAAATTCCCGCGTAATAGGTACATTCTATCAAATATTAATGAACTGTGGCAAGCTGATTTAAGTGATATGCGAACTTATTCTCAATATAATGATGGTTTCAAGTATATACTTTGTATTATTGATGTATTTAGTAAATATGCTTTTGCAAGACCAATGAAAAAGAAAAACTCAGAAACAACTAAAGAATGTTTTGAAAGTATATTTACTGAAAGTAATTTAACACCTACTCACATACAATCCGATAAAGGTACAGAATTTGTTTCAGAAGATGTACAAAAATACTTTAAATCCAAAAAGATTAATTACTATACCACTAACAATCCTGACATTAAGGCTAGTATTGTTGAACGATTTCAAAGAACACTAAAAATGAAAATGTGGCGTTATTTCACTCATAATAATACTTATAGATATATAGATGTTTTACAAGATTTAATATACTCTTATAATCACAGCTTTCACTCTAGTATTAAGATGTGCCCATGTGATGTAAATTCCAACAATATTATGACAGTTTGGACTAATCTTTATGATAGACGGTCAATAAAACTTTCTTTAGAAAACCCTAAACCAAATTTCAATGTGGGTGATTATGTTCGAATAACTAAATATAAACATGTATTCCAAAAAGGATATGAATCAAATTGGAGTGATGAAATATTTATTATATCTTCAATAATTGATAGATCTCCATGGGTTGTTTATACAATAACAGATTTACAAAATGAACCAATAATTGGTACTTTTTATGAAAGAAAATTACAGAAAATCACTTACAACCCCACCTCACAACATAAAATAGATAAAATAATTGACACTCGTTATTCAGGTAATAGAAAAGAAGTATTAGTGAAGTGGAAAGGTTATCCAGATAAATTTAACAGTTGGATTTTAGCTTCTAGTTTAAAAGAAATATGAATAAAGAAAGTTTCTATTTAACTTTGCTCAGCAATAGTTCAATGGAATACTTTCCTGATAACAAGACCACAAATTTTTCAACGAAATTACCAAAAGCTATAAAATTAGAAGGTGAATGGTCGGTTGGAGTTGTCGAGTTTCAATATCCATGTACCATGTTTACTGTTCAAGTCCATGAAAATGTTATATACATTACAAAATCTATGTTAATGCCTAATGAAGATAAACCATCCACAGTGTACTACAAAAAACATATTCCAGCTACCAACTATGATAACGTTGAGCATATTTTAAGAGTGTTAAATGGTATCGGAGAGAACTTGAAATTTCGCTTTGATGAAATAACAAAATTTGTGTCTATTTCGGTATTGGATAAAAATATAACATCCGTAACATTATCACCCAAATTAAGTTTACAGCTAGGTTATGAACCAAATAAAAATCTCCTAGAGAGAAATTTTGGAAAGTGTCCTGCTAATTTACACTTAGGGTTACCATCTCAACTATTTCTATATTGCGACATTATCGATCCTCAGATTGTGGGTGATGTTATGACTCCTTTATTAAGAGTCATTTCATTAGATCCTACAAAATACATTTATGGTGCAAATAAAATGCACGTTTTCTCTCAACCTCACTACTTACCTGTTATGCGAAGAGAGTTCGATACGTTGGAAATAGTTATAAGATCGAGTACAGGACAAAAAATACCATTCCAGTTTGGAACCGTGTGTATTAAACTACATTTCCGAAAATTATAATAATGAATTCTCTTCGTGATCATCATAAATGTCCATATGAAAATTATTATACACATCAAGCTGGATCAGGAGTTGGAGTAATTTATAAGGGTTCACCATATCAACGCGGTCATGGTATTGGGAGCTTCTTAGGGGGGTTATTCAGATCAGTTTTACCTTTACTTTCAAGTGGTGCTCGAGTGATTGGTAAGGAGGCATTAAGCGCTGGAGTAGGACTTTTATCGGACATGGTTCAAGCCCGTCCTATGGAAGCCTCAATAAAAGATCGTCTAAAGCAAGTTAGTACGAATTTAAAACGAAAGGCTGATGAGAAAATTGATCAATTTAACATGACTGGATCTGGGTATAAAACTAAAAGAAAACGATTGACATCGTTCATTCCACCATTAACTGCTAAAGTGAAAGCTGCGAAAAAACTTTGTCTAAAACCAAAAAATATCAAAGATATATTTTCAAACTAAATATGTCTTTCCTTCATAATTATTCTTGTGAGTGCGTTAAGTCAGAATTGGATTTGTTTGCACTACCGTCTACACAAACTAGCATTGAAAATGGATTGTGGATTCATTATAAACCAATTTCATCTCTTGGTGATGATGGACCTATCGAGTTTCAAGTTCCTGGGACCGGCGATGACTACATAGATTTGTCTCATACATTACTCCACATAAAGGCAAAAGTATTAAATCAAGATTCAACTAACTTGGTAAGTATCTACTACAATAGTAGCACCTGTAAATAATTGGCTGCATTCACTTTTTAGTCAACTTGATGTTTATTTAAACCAAAAACTTGTATCACCACCTAATAATACCTATGCATATCGAGCATACATGGAAACCCTTTTAAACTATGCCCCTGCTGCTAAACAATCTCATCTTACTTGTAGTCTTTGGTATGAGGATACAGCAGGAAAAATGGATTCTACAGATGGTAAAAACATAGGATTTGTTAAAAGACAGGAATTGATTAGTGAAAGTAAGGAAATAGAAATGATTGGTCATCTTCACGGTGACATTTTTAACCAAGATAAATTTTTAATTAATGGTGTTGAAATGAGTGTTAAATTGGTTCGATCAAGAGAGAGTTTTAATTTAATTGTTGGGTCAAACGATGTAAAGTTTAAAGTTTGCATTACAGACGCAACTCTTATTGTTCGACGAGCACGAATTAATCCAAGTGTATTACTCGCACATCAAAAAGTTTTAGCTTCTATCACTGCTAAATATCCTATTACTCGAGCTGAAGTAAAAGTTTTAACAATTCCTTCGGGTGTTCAAGGAAAAACTCTTGATAATATATTTTTAGGACAGGTACCGAAAAGATGTATAATTGGATTTGTGAACAATTCTGCATTTAATGGTTCCCTTACTAAAAATCCATTTAACTTTGAAAACTATGGTATTAATTCTTTCAGCTTATATATTGATGGTCAACAAATACCTTCAAAAGCTTTGCAACCATCTTTTAATAATAGCATATTTACATCAGCATATCATACTCTATTCTCGGGAACTGGTATTCACTTTCTTAATGAAGGAAATGGAATCTCTTGTGAACAGTATGGCAAAGGTTACTGTCTATTAGCATTTGACTTAACTCCTGATTTATCAGCTAACTCATCAACTCATTGGAATCTCATAAAGCATGGTAGTGTAAGAATAGAAGTACGATTTGAATCCTCATTAATACAAACAATTAACTGTATAGTTTATGCTGAGTTTGATAATATTATTGAGATAGATAAAAACAGAAATGTTACTGTAGACTATAGTAGTTAAGGTTATAATATGTGTTGTGTGTTAGATTTTATGTGTTATGTGTAATGCATTTTGTGTGTACGTAACTATGTGAAACGTAATAAAATTAAATAAAACAAATTGTATGCAATATATTTTTTTTTATTTCTTTATAAATCTTCTATTTAATCTAATACAAAACACTGTTCGAGTTGAAATTTTACATAAGCACACTGACTAAACCACTGAACATGCTGCTGCCAAGCATCATTATCATCTTCCCAATCTTTTAAACCACCACCACAATGGAAACACTTGGTCCCGTCTGCATGGCCAGTATAAAAGAAACCAGCTTCTGCAAGATCTTCAGGTTTCTGTCGCATAACGAGAGGCCAGTTTTCGAAACTAAGCAAACGGCTAGATTTTGAACTGAAGAATGGATATTCAGCTCTTGAGTACTGCATACTCTTCTCGTTTTCTTCTCCACTCAGTGTTGTAGTTTTGTTATTCAATGATGTGTTTTGTACACGTATGCCACACTCATCTCTTCCTTCCGCTCTTGTCTTCCTGTAATTGAAGTAAACAGAATCACATTCACTAATGATCAGCTAATGACTGTCATTGTTAAAAAAGTATTTTTTAACTTTTTCACTTTCTGCTATTGTCTTTGTTATATTGTATACGAGGGCGTTTGTGTTGTCGTAGATGCTATCCTTATTAGTCTTTACGTAATATTTAATTCTCGTGGAAGCATGTTTCCAATGATCAGTAGTTGGAATCTTGGATAGCTTCTTCATATCGTACATTTCAATTTTGATGAGATGCGTCGCTTGGTCTCCGTCGTCAGAATTAGTAGAAATGTATGATACACCATCTCTAGCGGCTCGTGCTACGGTTGATGATAACAGCTTCCTCTTTTTTATTTTTGATTCAGCTTCAAAAAAAATGATCAATCGATTGCGATTTTCTTTTTCCACCATCGCATGTGTTATTATTAATGACGAGGTTATCACTCTCTTCTTGAGGGGAGAGTGGCGAGTAGTAATACTGTTTATAGGTATCTTCATCGAAGCTCAATGATTTCTGCAACAATACAGTTATCATGTTAATATCAATTTGTTAACACTTAATCATAAAAGTTAAAAAAGTTAAAGTTACAGCCTATTAAAGTCCACTGCTGAACATAGGCCTCCTCTCATTTCTGAGAGGGTCTTAGAGCAAGGAAATGTCCGCCGCGCTCCCTCAATGTGTGTTGGCGAACTTCACATGCCTTCGAAATTTTCTCAGACATGCAGGTTTCCTCACGATGTTTTCCTTCACCACCAAGCACGTGGTAATAAGCACTTAAAATTGCGATTAACAATTTAATTGGTGCTGGCGGGGATCGAACCCGGGTCGCGTACTGTGAAATTTACAGCTAGCGCTAACCATCTGAGTTACCACGGCTTAATCATATACATACACAATATTTAAATAAAATAATACACACACATGAAAATAACAGAAAAAAAGTAATTTAGTCAATAGAATAAACACTTACATCCATAGCCTTTGGTGTATTGAAGTAACACAAATGTACTATTGATAGATCCACTGTAGTCAAACGACCGTACACTAACTCGATGACTGCGTCTGTTGGTCTTATATACCACCAGTACGTAAAAATTCTAATCTAAAGTATTTCCGTAATGAGTTGATAATTACTTTATGCGTCAACCAGTTTATCTCACATTTCCGTTGTCTATCTCAACATTTCTTCGTATTGTGTTTTGTTTGGTGATCAATGACTCAAGTACGATTTGTATAACACAAAAATGCAATTTAATATTTAGAAACATATCAGTTTATCTCACATTTCCGTTGCCTATCTCAACATTTCTTCGTATTGTGTTTTGTTTGGTGATCAATGACTCAAGTACGATTTGTATAACACAAAAATGCAATTTAATATTTAGAAATCACTATAATTGACCATTCCTATGTTATTCATTGAGTAGATTGGTACTGTAATAATCTACTAATAGCAGAAATATCATGGATACACTAGATGTACAACAACATCTGAAAAAGATTCACCCCAGTCTAGAAAATAATGTTTATGCAGCTAATAGATTGCCTATGTATACCCACGTACCAACGTATATAATATGTAATTTGGATACAGATGATAAACCAGGGTCACATTGGGTAGCTTTATATATCGATACGAATGACGTCGGTCAATATTTTGATTCATATGGACGATCACCTGTACGATATCATCTAGAGTTTTTAAAAAGGAATTGTAAAAGATGGAACTGGAATGTTGATAGGATTCAGAATGAGTGGACTTCAGTTTGTGGCGAATATTGCTTAATGTATTTGCTATATAAGTTTCAGGGATGTTCAATACATAGTTTTACGAGTATATTTACAAGGAACACACTGTACAACGATATTTTAGTGGATGAGATGTTTCGCTCCTATTTTATAGATAATAAGTAATAAGATTTTGTATTTTATAAATAAAAATTGTAACAAAATTATGTAATGTGTTTTATTG